ATCATGCCATTTCTATTTATATAATCTGTGCCAGGCTTGTACTACCAATTGAATATCATGCCACTTTTAATAAATTCAGGCCACGAATCAAGCACACATAATTCAGCCCACATAAATCACACGTAGATCAGGCCGTAAAATAAACATATTAATATTAATATAAGAGAGAGCATCTTCGCAAGGTCTATTTTATTAACCAATAAAATCGCATGCTTTAAATAATAATAATGTTGCACACACATCCACCTCGAATATATCCCTGAGGTACAAAGCTTTTCCTTTGATAACCATTTTCAGTAATTGCAAGCGCTGACAGTAACGACGTGTCTTTATTATGTCAACTTCCCAATATTGTTGTACCAGTGGATGACTTTATTAAGCGCGTTTATGCTCCAATTACGATATATATTTCTTGTCAACCGCTAAGGCTATAAATTACACTCGAAAATATACGGCTCGTAATTGATGGTTAGATTTACCAATCGCAATCAAATCGAAACAATTCCAATAGTTGTTCATACTCGTGCACTTCTTTCTCGTAAACATTGGAGGACATTCCAGTTATTCGCAATCGTTAGTTATTAATATTGAATCACGTAAATATGTGACCGATTACTATTACGTAACAACAAAAAGGACAGAACTGTCTCCCCAAAAATATGTAAGTATGGATTTATAACGTCTATCGTCATGGTGCTTGGTGTAATATTAAAGAAGATCATTTATGATAAGATCTCTTTCTTTAAAGAGGAAAAGTAATTGACGGCCTTTTCACATGCGTTTGGACGATCGTGTTTTAGGACCCCATGTTTTTGGTTACACCGGACCGGGTACTCTGTAATGGTAATAGTGGTGTCATTCGTACTCAATTCATTGTTAGATCGACTTTTGTATAAAAATATCAATCTTTCGCGAGATGCCTTTAATTTTTGCGCGGGTTGTCGAATTATACAACCCTATTACAAACAAAAGAACCGATCTATTTTGAATTTAGGGAAAGCCTACATTCATAATACATTAACGAGAATGATAAATGAACACGAAGCAGCAATCGTAAGGACCACTACCGAAGTCATAACGGCTACTTTCACAACAATGAGCGTTGCCAAACCCACGCATGTACAAATACCTGCGGCTCCCTATACTCTACTTGGCGTAGAACAAAACCCAAACGCTTTTAGCGCAATACTTAAACTCTCTGATCCTTCAGCCTCCTCAAACTTTACCCAAGATATATCACCTCTTTCTCTAACTGTTTCTTACGAAACACCCTATCGCGTTCGAGTATGTATCTCTGATCACGAGGGAAAACGGTGGCGGGTTCCCCCGTCTGTCGTGGAGGTGGACGGACCTCACGATAATAATAAGGAGTTTGGATACAAGTTTAAATATAACGTGCATGAGGACGAAACATTCGCGGGATTTTCTGTTAGCAGACAGAAGCCTCGTGAAGAAGTTTTCGTAAAGAAGACAAAAGTCTACGAATCTGACAGCTGCAGTGGGAAGGCACTCTTCGACTGCATAAATGAGAAATTTGTATTCAAAGACCAGTACATCGAAAT